CATACCCCGCTCGCGAATCATGCATGTGACGCAGGTACACATAGAGATACATGCTCAATCAGGCAAGTAGGAACTTATCGGGGATATTTATCCAATTAAAACAATTTCTCTTTTTAATAATTCAGGAAAGTGATGTTTAATCTCCTTTTAAATTCATTTACTAATCCAAGGTGATTTAAGCAACTCAAGTTATCAATGGGCTCATAAATAATCCAAGTATAACATGCTTATGGGTCCTAACTACCCGGACAATAGCATAATAGTGGCTACGCACGGACTCTCGTCACCTCGTGCGTACGTAGCCCCCACAAATAGGAGCATATAATCGATTATTACACCTATCGGGACATTTCCCTCTTACAAGGTTAGAAAGGAGACTCACCTCGCTCCGAAGACCCATGACCGGCATTCTACATTCTTCCAAAGGCTTGAACCGACGCTCAATGCTCCAAAACTAGCCAATGGTTATACAAATCCATTAATATATGCTACGGTACTCATTATAATCCAATTTACAACAATTCCTCCCGATTGGAAAGTTGACAAAAATGCCCTCGGGCTCACGTGCCCAGAATCCTAAATTTTTCGAAGATAAAGTTTACCCATGACCTTAGGAACTCAAATATATAATTTTCACTAAATTCCATCCCCGAAATCATGGTTAAATTCCAAGAATAATCATTTTCTATGTCTTCCCTCAAACCCCAAGTTTTCTACAATTTTCATGCTCAAATCCATACATAATTGATGTATTTAACTCAAAATAGGTGGGGATAACTTACCTTGCCATTGATGATGAAAATCCTCTCTAAAAATCCTCCAAGAATCGCCCCAAGCCAAGAAAAATATGATGAGAAATGGCCAAAATCGCATTTTAAAACAACCTTCTGACCTAGCTCTTTCCGCATCTGCGATCCCGCAGGTGCGGCCCCAATACCGCATCTGCGGTCCTCACCAAGCCTCCCCCTTTCCGCTTCTGCGCTCCATCCTCCGCAGGTGCAGTCCCGCATCTGCGGCAAAATGACCGCATCTGCGGTCCCAGCTCCCATCACCTCCAGCCGCTTCTGCGGTCCATCCCTCGCTTTTGTGGGGCCGCTTCTGCGGTCCTATTTCCGCAGAAGCAGAAATACCAGCAACCAGCAAACCTCACTTTCCCAAAAATCCATTTTCGATCCGTTAACCACCCGGAATCCACCCGAGGCCCCCGGGACCCCAACCAAACATACCAACCAATCCCAAAACACATTACGGACTTGTTCGAGGACTCAAATCGCATCAAACAACGCTAAAATCATGAGTCGACCTCCAATCCAAACTTAATGAACTTCAAAATTTCAAACTTCTATTCCCGATGTTTAAACCTATCAAATCACGTCCGATTGACCTCAAATTTTGCGCACAAGTCATCTTTGAAATTACGGACCTACTCCAACTTTCGGAATCAGATTCCGACCCCGATATCAAAAAGTCCACCTCCTGTCAAACTTCTCAAAACCTTCAAATTTCTATCTTTAGCCAAATGGCTCCAAAATGACCTACGGACCTCCGAATTCACTCCCGATCGCGCCCCAACTCCCGAATCACCATACGGAGCTATTCACAGTCTCGGAATCCCAAACGGACAACGATAACGCTGAAATGCACTTCGAGCCAAACTTATGAAATTTTTTTTAAAATGCTAACTTCCACAATGGGCGCAAAAATACTCCTGGGTTATCCAAAACCCGAACCGGGCATACGCGCAAGTCTGAAATCATCATACGAAGCTGCTGAAACCTTCGTATCCTGATTTCGAGGTCGTTTACTCAAAACTCCAATCCTAGTTCATTCTTTCAACTTTAAGCTTTTGAAATAAAAATTCTCTTTCCAAATCAACTCTGAACTTCCCAGAACTTAATTCTGACCACGCGTACGAGTCATAACAACTGAAATGAAGTTGTTCATAGCCTCCAACTGCTTAACAGAGCGCTAGGACTCAAAACGACCGGTCGGGTCGTTACACTATCATTCAAGGTAATGGGGAGATTGACGAGGATCTCACATATTGTCGTAGTAGTAGTAGCTAGTAGTAGGCTGGATTTAGGGGGACGGATCCGAACCCCTTTCGTCAAAAAATTAGACTTCATATATAAGACAAAATATGTTTTTCACCTCTATATATTATGTTTTGAATCCCCTTAACTTAACCCTAAAGCATAGCTTAGTGGTCAAAGGGTTCAAATTTTTTTATGAGGTCACTAGTTCAATTCCCACTAGCCAAAATTTTTATTTTTTTTTACTTTTTCCTTTTTTGAACTCCTTTAGCAAAAATATTGCCTCTGCCACTGCTAGTAGTAGCAATCTCGTATTTCTTTGTCTTAGATTTCTATAATTACCTGCTATTTCTTTTGCTTCGGTTCCTATTATCTTATTGTTGTTACTGCTTCTCTTTCAATGGGTTCTTTACTATTGCATTTCCTTTTCACTATTGCCGATTTTTTTTTGCTTTCCTTGAGCAGAAAGTCTATCGAAAACGGCCTCTTTATCTCTACGAGATAGGGGTAATGTTTACATACATACTACATTCACCAAACCCCACTTGTTGGATTATACCGGATTGTTGTTGTTATGTTTGTACTAGGGATTTTTGTTGTTGTTGTACTATCGGAGAAAAACACAAGCATCCAACACTTTGTGAGAGTTAGAAATTATTTCAAATGGACTGTCAGAGAAAGTCATTTTTCTCCTTTTAATGAAAATTATTTTTCAAAGAAATTATTTCTAGTGTTTGTTTGCCAGGAAATGACCAATTTTCTGGGAAATATTTTCTTTCATACCAGATAAAAGAATTTATGCTTGGAATCCACGTTTATATTGAGGAGGTTGACATTTTAGAAGAAAAATTGGAGGAAAGTAAATGTCAGAGTCTGATCTTTGATTAAGGAAAATTTGTATGACTACGTTAATTGACTCCAAAGAAGAAAATTCCCCTTCCATCTGAGACCGTCAAAGAATTCTCAGATTTGTTGCTTGGCATTGTTAACAAGGTAAGGTTGCTTGGCACTAAATTTAAAGATTAAAGAATTGTTGAAAAAATTCTTGTTACGGTACCTGAAAAATATGAAGTATCCATAACTACCTTGGAAAATACAAAGGATCTATCCAAGATTACCTTGGCAGAATTGATAAATACATTGCAGGCACAAGAGCAAATGAGGCTTATGAGGCAAGATGGTATGGTTGAAGGAGCCTTGGCAGCCAACCATAGAACTCAAATCAAGGGTAATAATGCAAAGAAAAATTACCCGCCTTGTCAGCACTGTGGCAAAAAAGGTCATCCATCGTTCAAATGCTGGAAGAGGCCAGATGCAAAGTGCAAAATTTGTAACCAACTTGGTCGTGAAGCTGTAATTTGCAAAGGCAAATATCAAAAGCAAGAAGGAGATGCCCGAGTCGCCAATGAAGAAGAAGAAGATCACTTGTTTGTGGCAACTATTCTTTCGACCAAAAAATCTTATTTGTTGATTGACAGTGGTTGTACAAACCATACAAACCACATGACATATGACCGAAATCTTTTCAAAAAGTTTACATCTATAGGAAATAAGAAAGTCAGAATTGGAAATGGTGATTATATTCTTGCTAAAGGAAAAGGAATTGTTGCAATCCCAACAAATTCAGGTACTAAGAAAATTTCAGATGTTCTTTATGTTCCTGATATTGATCAAAATTTATTAAGTGTTGGACAATAAATGAAAAAAAGGATTTAAAGTATCCTTTGAAGATAAATATTATTTCATTTATGATGCAACTGGACTTGAGATTTTAAGGGTTAAAATGAGATGTAAAAACTTCTCATTTGATCCAACCGAAGATGAAGAATGGAGCCAAAAGAATCTACAAAGTGCAGATAATCCTCCAATTGAGGACATATGTGAAAATGAGGCAAAGAAGTTGTCAATATTTCAGAAAAACAAAATTTGGAAGAAAGTTGACAAGCCTCAAGGGAAAATGCAAATGTGGAAGAAAGTTGACAAGCCTCAAGGAAAAATGCAAATGAAGCCAAAAAAAGAGCCAACTTATTTTGACAATCATGAGATGCAGCAAAATAGAAAATTGAACTCAATTTACTGTAAGTCCAAAGATCAGTTGGCAGATTTACGTACAAAGTCGCTTCCAGTTAAAGGTTTATAAGGCATTAATTCAGAATTTGCAGCTTCAAAAGCAAGGAGGACTGTTAGAAATATGTTTTAGAAGCTAAAAATAGTAAAATTATTTTACAGTTTCAGCTTAGAGTTATTTACTACAGTAATTTAGTTTGAATTTGAAATAATTTTGAACTAATCTTTAGGAGTGAACTAGTCTCTAGGAGTTAGTTATTTTCAGTAGATTTTGTGCTGATTTTTAGGTCTTTTAGGTTAGTATTTCTCTTATAAATTGTGGTCCAAAATGCAGTAAAACAACATAGAATTTTCAGCTTCAATTCCTTTTACATCTATTCCAGTATACTCTTTTTATTTTCATGTCATCTTCCTCAGTTATTTCCCTTGTTTCTTTTATCAAGAACCAACAGATGGACAAAATAAAGTTAAGACATAGTCTTAATTTTGACTGTAATAAGCCAGTCAATAAGCCACGTGGCCTCATCTCAGCTGTTCAAAAATTACATTGATGGATTAAATCTGGTTCGTTCAAAAAGCATTCATTGTCTGGAAGATTCTCACATGCACACAATATGTCATTTGAAGAAGGAATAATGAGTTAGTTATTTTGTTAGATCTAGACTAGTAATATTAGGACAAGTGTACAAATTTGATAGGCCATTCTTTTATTTTTTGTTTTCTTTTCTAGGAATACATGTGTATAAATAGAGTGTCCCTTGTACAGATGATTCTATTCAGAAATATAGAAAAATTTCTCAATTTACATTCTCAATTTTCAATATGGTATTAGAGCAGTAGCTCTTCTTCCTCGTCTTCTTCTTTTCTTTTCTTCAGATTTTCTGATTTTCTGCTTCAATCATGGCTCCTGCCTCAGACGTCACTGAAACTCCACTTACACACACCTCTTCTTCAACAACATCAGGCAATGGAAACACCATTGATTCCACTCACCCTTATTTCCTTCATGCTTCTGATGCACCAGGTATGATACTGGTGAACACACCATTTGATGGTCGTGACTATGCTGGTTGGAGCAGATCGATCCTGATCTCACTGTCAGCTAAGAACAAATTGGGCTTCATTGATGGTTCTTGCCCTATGCCATCTTCTACAAACCCTACTCATCCAACCTGGAGCAGATGCAACCACATGATGACCTCTTGGTTGTTGAATTCCCTCACCAATGTCATTGCTGACAGTGTTCTGTACTCAAAAACTGCTAAGGACCTTTGGTTAGATCTAGAGCACAGGATTGGGCAACCTAATAATCCAAGCTATACCACCTGCAAAAGGAACTTGCTGATTTAGTACAAGGGACAGCTGATATTGCTACTTATTTCACTAGAATGAAACGACGATGGGATGAATTGGACACTCTCAACTCTGATATGCAGTGCTCATGCAATTGTGATTGTGGTGCAAAGAAGAAAATGCAGCAATTTAAGGAACATGAGAGGCTTATTCAGTTCCTCATGGGCTTGAATGAAACATATGGATTGGCTTGGAGAAACATACTCATGGTTAAACCTCTACCTTCAGTTAATCAAGCTTACTCACTTCTCATGTAAGATGAGAATCAAAGGGAAATTCATGTCAATTCCCAATTTCCAATAGATGGTGCTTCTTTCATGGTGAAAATCAAGGACCTCAGAGTTATCAGAACCCCGCACCATCTCATTTCCCTCAACAGAAGAATGGACATACTCCTTATAAAGGAAATCTTGCACAAAAGGAAAGAAAAACACACAGATCTGCTCAAATTGTAAGATGACTAATCACACAATTGATAACTGTTACAGACTTGTGGGATTTCCTGCTGATTTCAAATTTACTAAAAACAAAAGGGTTCAAAATCCTCCAAAAGGAAATTCAGCCACTGTAGTAGAAGATACAGGGGAAATTCATAGCAACATGGCAGAAGGACTTCAATTTTCTCAGAAGCTCTTATCTGATCAATTCAGTCAATTAGTTAATCTCCTGAATCAACTACAAACAGGACAGGGAGCTTCTCAAGAGGTTAATGCAAATTCAGCTTCTGGAATATTGTTTACTAATTCTCCATCCTGTTATTCAATTTCCAATTCTAATATTTCCAACTCTTGGATTATAGATTCAGGGGCAACTGAGCATATGTGTTTAAATGCCAACACATTTTTATTCTTAGTACCACTACCTTTTCCTCTAATGGTGAAATTACCTAATTCTTCTAGGGTAAAGGTCACTCATGCTGGTAGTGTTTCTATCTTTCCAGGTCTAGTTCTGGAAATGTTCTGCATATTCCTAGTTTCAAGTACAACTTACTCTCAGTTTGTAGGCTTTGTCAAAGATTCAAATGTCTTTTAGTTTTCACTTCTTTTGGATGTATTTTGCAGGGCCCTCTCATGAAAAGCCCTCAAGTTTTTGGTGAAGCTAAGGAGGAACTTTACTTATTGGAGCCTAGTGTCACAGCACCTAGAACTTTGTCATCCAAAATTGCTAAATCTTTTTCTAATTCAGTTTCAGCTAATAGATTGTTGCCTGCATCATTTTCTAATTCAGTTTCAGCTTCTTTTCCTTTTCCTATTTTAACAAAATCAGAATCTGATGTAAAACTCTGGCATGTAAGATTGGGGCATTTGCCTTTTAATGCAATGAGATATATCAGTTCCATTTCATTTGCCTCTGATTCCGTGTGTCATTGTGATGTTTGTCCATTAGCAAGACAGTGTAGATTACCATTTTCACTCAGTCATATCAAAACTAAGCAACCTTTTGAATTAATACACATTGACACATGGGGTCCTTATAAGACTCCTACTCACAATGGATACATGTATTTTCTCACTATTGTTGGTGATTTCAGTAGAGCAACTTGGACTTATCTACTGAGCACAAAGGGTAGTGCATTTTCAGTTCTAAAATATTTTTTGAGCAATGTGGAAAGACAATTTAACACTAAGGTCAAGGTTATCAGGTCAAATAATGCTTTGGAATTGGGAAGCAGCACTGCAGCTTCTTTGTTCTTATTATCACAAGGTATTTTGCATCAGACTTCATGTGTGGGAACTCTTCAGCAAAATGACATTGTGTAAAGGAAACATCGACATTTGTTAGAAATTTCTAGAGCTATACTCTTTCAATCCAAGGTGCCTTTTTGTTATTGGGGAGAATGCATTCTAACAGCTACATTTCTCATCAACAGATTTCCATCAGGAGTGCTCAAAGGACACACTCCCTATCATTTGCTGTTTGGAAAGGCACCTTCCTGTTCTTTCTTAAGGAGTTTTGGTTGTCTTTGTTATGCCTCTACCTTATCACATAACAGAGGGAAGTTTGATCCTAGAACCACAACATGTGTATTCATGGGATATCCTAATGGTCAAAAAGGATATAAATTATTGAACCTCACCACCAGGAATTTGTTTGTCTCCAGGGATGTTCATTTCATTGAACATATCTTTCCCTTCTCCCATATGTCTCAAGATAATCCCTCTATATATCCTGGTTCTACTTTTCCTATACCTCTTTTCACCTCTGATGCTCCCTCACAACATCACTTCACTGTACCACAAGATTGCTCTACACCTGATTCTTCACCTAGTTCCTCTTCTCACCAGAATACTCCCCCTCCTATTTCTTCTACCTCACCTATCCCTCCTTCCCCTCCTGTTCCCCTTAGGAGATCTAGTAGAGATAATATAGGGACTCTACCTAATTATCTTAAGGATTATGTTTGCAACAACATATTTCTCACTGATGTAACCACTTCTTGTCTCACCTCTACTTGTTCCCCATCTCCCTTTGCTTTCTCTGCCCTCACTAGCTCTAATCAACACCTCCTCAAATCAGTATCTTCTATTACAGAACCCACCTCCTACTATTAGGCTTGTTCTAACCTAGGTTGGGTGCAAGCTATGAACTCAGAACTTAAGGCTTTAGAAGAGAATCTTACCTGGGATGCGGTCCTACTGCCTACTAGGAAAAAGGCATTGCCTTGTAAATGGGTTTATAAAGTCAAACAAAATACAGATGGCTCTATTGAAAGACTCAAGGCTCGATTGGTTATAAGAGGTGATGTTCAGAGAGAAGGTATTGATTACACAGAAACCTTCTCTCCAGTTGTCAAGATGACAACAATCAGATGTTTGCTTTCTATTGCTGTCAAGAAAGGTTGGTCTATATCTCAATTTGATGTAAGCAATGCCTTTTTACACGTGGAGTTGCAAAAAGAGGTTTATATGAGGTTTCCTGCTGGTTTACCTTCCCCAAGTCCCAACCATGTTTGTCGACTCAAGAGGTCTCTTTATGGTTTAAAACAAGCCTCCAGGCAATGGTATGTCAGGCTTGCCGGGGCACTCAGTTTCAAGGGATTTTCTGCTTCTCTTAATGACTATTCTCTGTTCTTTAAGAGAACAGGTAATCTCATCTCTATTGTTGCAGTATATGTTGATGATATACTGCTTATAGGGGACAACATTGCTGAATTAACAGACCTCAAAGAATTCTTGCATTCTGAGTTCAAAATGAAGGATCTTGGGCTACTTCATTATTTTTTAGGAATAGAAATTTTGCGAGAACAAAATGGTATGATTATTACTCAAAGGAAATTTACCATTGATTTGCTCAACGAGTTTGACTGCTCCAATCTCCCTTCAGTTTCTTCACCACTGGATCCATCTTCCAAATTAGTTGCTAATTCTGGTCCTCCATTGATCGATGCTTCTCTTTATCGTCGATTAGTGGGTAAGCTCAACTATTTGACTCACACACGTCCGGATCTCTCTTTTGCCGTCCTCACTCTCAGCCAGTTCATGCAACGCCCTTGCATTGGTCATTTCACTGCTGCCTTGCGTGTTCTTCGTTACATTAGCTCCACCTCCGGCCAAGGACTGTTTCTCAATGCTCATCCCTCTTTGGACCTCTTGGCTTTCTGTGATGCCGATTGGGCTTCTTGCAGGGATAGTCGCCGGTTCGTTAGTGGTTTCTTTATCAGTTTAGGTGGCTCTCCTGTGTCTTGGAAATCCAAGAAACAAGCTTGTATCTCTCTATCTTCCGCAGAAGCGGAATATCGCTCCATGCGGCGTTTGGTTGCAGAACTCACTTGGTTAACTCGTTTGCTCACAGATCTCTCAGTTCCTTCTCCGATTCCGGTTCCCATTTTCTCCGATAGTCAAGCTGCCATCCATATCGCCCGGAATCCCGTGTTTCATGAAAGGACTAAACACGTCGAACTTGATTGCCACTTTGTGCGGCAACAATTTCTCTCCGGTCTCATCTCTCTTTCTTTTATTCCCTCAAAATTGCAACTTGCTGGCTTGTTCACCAAACCCTTACCAGGGCCTGTTCAGAAACGATTCTTGGCAAGTTGGGTGTGTCTTCTACCCCCTCCAACTTGAGGGGGGATGTTGGAATAAATGGATCTAAGTTTAGTAAGAAGAAAGATTTTGAAAAAGAAAAGATTTTACGGAAGATAGATGATGAAGAAGAAGAGCTAAAGTTGATGCTCAAAAATGAACAAAGGACGGACAAAACAAAGTTAAGACATAGTCTTAACTTTGACTCCAATAAGCCAGTCAATAAGCCACGTGGCCTCATATCAGCTATTCAAAAATTACATTGATGGATTAAATCTGGTCCGTTTAAAAAGCATTCAATGTCTGGAAGATTCTCACATGCACACAATATGTCATTTGAAGAAGGAATAATGAGTTAGTTATTTTGTTAGATATAGACTAGTAATATTAGGACAAGTGTACAAATTTGATAGGCCATTCTTTTATTTTTTGTTTTCTTTTCTAGGAATACATGTGTATAAATAGAGTGTCCCTTGTACAAATGAGTCTATTCAGAAATATAGAAAACTTTCTCAATTTACATTCTCAATTTTCAATAGAATCAGCTTAGGCATACCTCAACTATTGTACCTAGTACATACAATCCCACAATTTTAGCAGCAGATTTTCTCAGCCATAAATATATTAAAGACATTTCCCAAGGTATCTAAATTCAACATATATTTCTTACTTTTTACATTTAACAGTGAAAGCTTCCTACTTGAACAGGCATCTATTTGTTACTACATGGACCTTGCAATGTTTGCAAAAGTGAACTTAAAAGACTGGTTTTAAAAAAAGAGAAATTTTCATAAAGCACCATCTTTTAGTAGTAATTAGCCATCTATAGATACCGTTTGCTATATTACGGATTATAGATACCTTTTCTGTGGTTATAAGATGTATTTTATGTATTTAAGCTATTGTATTCATGAATACAGTAGCAAAAATAGGCGTGAATCAGGGAAGTCCAGCTAATCAGTTGTTGTATTCGAGTGTATTCGACTGTATTCATGGAGTGAAACATGGGATTACATCTGGACAGATTATTGTATTCGACTGTATTCACGGCGTGAAATAGGGGATTACACTGTTTTTAAAACGGAAAGTGAATCAATTAACATAATAGACTCCTAATATAACTCAACAAACTCAATTATAACACACAAAATTTGTATTTTTCAGTTATAAAAAAGATTCTCGACCGCAAAATACCCCAAAAATATAGCAATCTTCAGAGAAATTATATAATACATCTGAATACATAAATTATATTAATTGAAAAAAACATATGAATACATTCATGGCATATAGCGAGACAATGAATACAATGAAATAGATAGAATACAGAGGGATACATTGAAATACAATGAGAAAAAAAGATACTGAATAAAATGAAATACATGGAATACAACGAGATACATTGAATTACAATAAAAAAAAAGATAGTGAATACAATGAAATACATAGAAATACAGCGAGATACATTGAAATGCTCTTAAAAAAAAAGGTAACAGAATCTTCAAATTGCTCAACCCCAAACTTCAGACGACCTATTTAAGTCGACAATTTTTCGACGACCCATCGGATTCCGACCATAATTCCATAAGCAGCGATGAGAGAAAGAAGAAGAAAACGAGAAAGATCGCTGAAGAAGAAATCGCTGAAGAAGAAATCGATGAAGAAGAAATCGCTGAAGAAGAAATTCAGCAGTCAATTCGCTGAAGAAGAAATTCAGCAATCAATTCGCTGAAGAAGAAATTCAGCAGTCGAAGAAGAAATTCAGAAGAAGAAACATACTGGAGTTGACTCCTTATTCATGTCCACGAAACTTTGGGAGAAAAAGAGAGTTGATATTAGAGGAAGAGGTCCACGAAACTTTGGGAGAATGGGATGTATCAAAGTAGAGAGAGAAAGAAAAAAGTGTAACTGATTAGCGTATTTAGTGGCTTAGGGCTAGGAGTAAATCAAAATTAGGAATTTTGCTATAAACCTTAAAAGGTATCTATAGAATATAATTTTTTTAAATGGTATTTATTTAAAATAAATAAGGTGTTAACCTTTGCTATAGGAGGTAAAAATTCCTTAAAAAAACTAAAGTACAATTTTTGTTAACTAATTAAAGTGAAACTTGTAGGTTCCTCTCAACTGCTCTAATATGTCAACTTTAAGTACCTTCCCACACCAAAAGTTCACTTGGGAAATTTCAAAAACACATTGCACACAGTTTAGACTATCTCACATTTTGAACTTTTCGATGAAAATTTCTGATTGGCGATGACTCCCTTCGTTGCATACGTAGTCTTGATCTGTCTAACGTAAAACATCTATCATAATACAAGCGAGTATAATTTTTGTTTGATTTCCGCAGCTTTCTACCCCTCTTCTCTTTAATGTTGTACAAGAGAGGCGTCTTGCCTTGAATAAGAATGTCACCATTACTGTAACCCACTATTCTAACCCAATCCCCCATACGTGGTAAATGGATATCGTATTCCTTCATCCATGTTTGGTTTTTAGGATCTTTGAGCAAGAATATACACATTCTTGATAATTCTTTTGAGTAATAAGCTAAACATAGTTTCCCATTCAAATCAGTTAACTGGCCATTCTCAAATAGTTTTTGATTATCTTCTTGAGGGCAACTAATGGTTAAGAATTCTTCATTTTCAATTTCCATAGAAACTATACGGTCTTCCTTTATATCTCCCTTTCTAACCAGACAATATAATACACCATCTACACATGTTGCATCAACCTTGACAGAAAACTGTTCTCGGTGTGTCATGGATCGCCATGAACTGGGAATTGGTCCACCATCAGTTAGTGTAAGAGTCTCAAATCCGAACTCCAAAATCTTACTAGCATAGTTGCAGTTGTAATTGGCACCACGATCTGTACCAAATAGACGGACAATCTTGTATGTATTGGTATAAGGAATATAGCCCACATCGAAACTAACTGATTGATAATTTGAATAGTTTGGTAAGTCTATGATTTCTCTAGTTGTGGGGTTGCATACCTTGTGATTGAAAATGATGAGGTTGGACGAGACGCAGAAGGAGTATTCACGGCCAACAATCTTGAAACTGAATTCTTTCTGAATCTTGTTATCACCAGCAAGATCAATGGTCGAAATAGTGATAATTCGACTAAGAGGTCCGATCCCACTCGGCCTTGAATAAGTTTGGTCAGATTCTTCAACTACAAGTGCCCGGGGACGAGTCATTGATTTCATGTTGTAGAGTCTTCTGAAATGTGGACTAGAGATGGTTCTGAGCCATTGGTTTGAAACTGTTTGAAGTTGGTGGACATGTTTGACAGAAAGCCTAGAGAATATATCGATCAAGACTTCACTAGGCAGAGCCATGATGTTGGAGCTCAGTTCCATACTAGTACTGGCCATTATTCCACTTCTCTATGATCTAGAAAGTTGAGATTTAGAGATTAAATTGATGGTCGTATAGTTATATTCTAAAGAAGAGTAGGGGGATAGGTTTTTTCTTAATATATAATAAAAGTAGTCATCCTAATTGGATGCTTTATTAGCAGCCAGCACATGGGATACTAGCACTGAATAATAATAATATAAGGTTTTTGGACAGTTTTTTATACTAAGGGTCTTTTTACTCTTGTTTATGCCATTTCACAACAAGATTCGATGCCATTTCTTATGTCTCAATCAAAGCACTATTTTAATGAATGAATCCACAAATTTTAGCCAGTAAATGAGCGCACTTCATGGTAACAAAGTTAATTGCTTTCTTAATTTCAATTTAGATGACACACTCTCATTTAGTCCGTTCCAAAAAGAATGATATTTTTTATAATTGGAAATAATTCAACTTTAAACATTTCATTTTATCTATTTTACCCCACAAAGTTTTTATCCCCTAAGTTTTTAAAACCGCTAATTTCAAAAATCTCCCTCTTTTTTCTTAAACTTTTTGCCGAGTTAAACTATATATGTTTTTGTTGCGGAAAGAAAACAAACTCGTCGGTTTCTCAGGTGAGGTCAACCTCTGTTAGCTTAGGGGTTAAAAACACATGCTTTGTCTGACAAGTCTACTGTTTCCTTGTTGTTTATGTAGATTGCATCATCCTCATTGGGGATGATTTTATTATGATCCCTAAATTAAAGGATTTTTTATGGACGCACAGTTTAAATTAAAACATTTGGGGCTAATCAATTATGTTTTGTTGGGAATAAAAAAATAATCTCGCCCAGGAATAATATCCACAGCAAATAGTAATAACACAAGAGAGTAACAATGACACCAAATATTTTAGCGGGGTAAAATACAATACCCGAGTGGAGCAATATTACCACTATAATATTACAACTCAGTAGTGTCAAGAGACTACTACAACTTTGAAAGAAATAACACTCTTTATTTAAATATTACTCACACTCACTTATCTCACAGACTACAATCTGTGGATTACTCTCTACGCTCTATTGCGCTCTCTGATTTTTGGTGTACTTGAAATGAAACCGAATGCTTCTATTTATAGGAGAAGTCACCACAGCTTAACCAATCAAGACACTGATATCTTCAATTTGCAAAACCCATCAGAAAACCAACTTTAGCAAATTGGTGTTGCAACTTGCTGTTGCCGCCCAATTCTTGATGCAACTTCAAACTTTTTTTGTTTCTGTCATTTTTTAACAAGTTGTCATTACAACTTGTTTCTTTCTTTATTTAAGGACCACAAATCTCTCCCTTAATTTTGATTTTTCTTTTTCATTCCAAGTCTTGATCTCAGTCTCTGGAAGTCATCAAATTTGAGAAGCTTTGTAAAGATATCCGCAGCTTGATCATGTGACTTCATATACTTGAGCTCGACTTCCTTCTTGGCAATGCATTCTCTGATGAAGTGATACCTTGAATCGATATGCTTGCTTCGATCATGATACACTGGATTCTTCGCGAGTGCCTGTGCAGATTTGTTGTCAATACAAATCTCTGTAGCTTCAATTTGTGGTAAATTGAGCTCCTTCAATAATCCTCTCAGCCAAATAGCATGACAGGTACAAGATGTTGCTGTTATATATTCAGCTTCACAAGTTGAGAGAGTAACAATTGATTGTTTCTTTGAACTCCAAGAAATAACAGAATCACCCAAGAAAAATACAAAACCAGTTGTACTTTTTCTATCATCAATATCTCCCGCATAATCACTATCACAAAATCCCATAAGACTGAAATCACTAGAAGAAGAATAAAATAGCCCAAAGTCAATCGTACCTTTTAGGTAGCGAAGAATTCTTCTAGTGACTTTTTGATGAGTGGAGGTAGGAGCTTCCATGAAGCGGCTTACAACTCCAACTGCAAATAGTATATCTGGCCTGGTACAAGTCAAGTACCTCAAACTTCCCACAAGACTTTTGAAAAATGTGGGATTCACCTTTTCTCCTTCATCAAACTTGGACAATTTTGTCCCACTCTCCATCGGTGTGTTCACGGGGTTGCAATCGAGCATGTTGAACTTCTTCAATATCTCTTTTGTATAGCATTCTTGAGAGATAAAAATTCCATCCTCCATCTGCTTCACTTCTAGGCCCAGGTAGTATGACATGAGCCCTACGTCTATCATCTCAAACTCACGGAACATATCTTTCTTAAAAGCTTCAAACAAACTTGGGTTATTGCCCGTGAAAATAAGATCATCAACATAAAGACAAGCAAGTAAGATATCTCCATTAGTATGAACTTTAAGGTAAAGAGCGTATTCATGGAGACAACGAGTAAATCCATTGTCATGAAAATATTTGTCGATGCAACTATTCCATGCTCGTGGGGCATGCTTTAATCCATATAAAGCTTTCTTCAACCGCAAAACTTTATCTTCATGGATTTTGACCACGAAGCCCAATGGTTGTTCAACATAGACTTCTTCTTCAAGATAGCCATTCAAGAAGGCTTACTTGACATCTAGTTGATAGATCTTCCACTTCATTTGCGCCGCCAAAGTGATCAGCAAACGAATCGTCTCCATGCGGGCAACAGGTGCATAGACTTCTTCATAGTCAATGCCTTGCCTTTGCTTGTAGCCTTTAGCCACAAGTCGTGCCTTGTATTTCTCCACATCTCCATCAGCATTCTTCTTTATTTTGTATATCCATTTCACTCCAATTGCTCGATGACCCTTGGGAAGAGTTGTTAACTCCCAAGTGTTGTTCTTCTCTATTGACTCAATCTCCTCGTCCATGGCTTGTCTCCACTTTTTGTTTGTAACAGCTTTATCAAAGTTCATTGGTTCACTTTCAGCAAAGAGACAACATACAAAATCAAAATTAGTAACTTCTTCTGTGTCCTCATAGAGCTCTTGAATACTCATTGTCCTTTGCGGCTATTCATTTGAACTTTCTTGAGAAGAGGGAGATGCAACATTGGTTGGAGAAGGAGGTGGATTTGTATCCTGCACAGGTTCCACGGTCTCTGGTTCTTCTTCATCACCAAAATATGGAAGAAAATCATATGAAGTTTCTTCCTGAGCTTCCCAATCCCATGCCAATTCTTCATCAAATTCAACATCGCGACTTACCACCACCTTGCCACTGCTTGGGTTGTATAACTTGTATCCTTTTGAACTCGTATCATAGCCAACAAACACATGCTTGATACTTCGATCGTCAAGCTTTGTCTCCCTTGATGTGGCACATGAGCATAGGCTATGCTCCCAAAGATTCTCAAATGGTTGATACTTGGCTTTCTTTCACTCCATGCTTCTTGAGGGGTTTGATGTCTAACATTTCTTGTTAGAGACCTGTTGTTCAAATAAAATGCACAAGAAACAGCTTCGGCCCAAAATTCCTTGGGCATACTTTTAGCTTTCAACATACATCGAGCTATATTAAGAATCGTTCGATTCTTTCTCTCCGCAACTCCATTTTGTTGGGGTGAATAAGGTACCGTTAGAGGGCGACGAATTCCATGAGACTGACAAAAGTCATTAAATTCGTTTGAAGTGAGTTCGCCTCCTCTATCGGACCTTAGAGCTTTAATTTCATAGCCACTTTCTTTCTTCACAAGTACTTTGAAATTTTTAAAAGCAGCAAAAGCTTCAGATTTTTGATTCAAGAAATAAACCCAAGTCTTTCTACTAAACTCATCAATGAAAAGCAGAAAGTATCTACTTTTACCAAAAGAAGGTGGATTGATTGGTCCACACACATCAGTGTGTACAAGCTGGAGCGGCTTGGTTGATATTCACATGGCCTCCTTTGGAAAACTCTTCCTTGCATGTTTTCCAAGAAGACAAGCTTCACACAATTGATTGGGATGGTTGATTGATGGTATCCCATGTACCATGTTCTTTTCTCCCATTGATTTGAGCGCTTCAAAATTCAAGTGCCCAAATCGCATGTGCCAACACCATGATTCATCGTGCACATTATCTTTCAAACACTTTGCGTCAATTGTTTTAAGATTCAGAGAAAACAATCTATTCTTTGCTATATGCACTTTAGCAATTAGAATTCCACTTGAATCTCTAAGCCAAAGATGCATATTTTTCATGTGGATGTCATATTCCTTTTCAAGAAGTTGGCCCAAACTCAAAATATTACTTTTTAATTTTGGCACATAATAAACATCTTGAATTAGTTTGTGACTACCATCTTTACAGGAGATCAGAATCGTACCTATCCCTTCGATTTGAATCTTTGAGGTATCTCCAAAGGACACTTTACCTCTAACCATTTTATTGATCTCCACAAACTTTTCTTTGCACCCACACATATGATTGCTTGCTCCATTGTCCAAATACCACGAGCTGCAATCATCCTTCTCTTCTTCCTTGAGTGCCAGCAATAACGTTGACTCATTTTCTTCTTTCTTGTCGTCAACAAGGTTAGCTTTCTCTTCAACATTGCTACGACATTCCCAAGAGTAATGGCCAAATTTATGACAATTATAACACTCAATTTTTGATTTGTCATACCTTTGTCCATTATTTCTTGGTAGTAGCCACGTCCTCTTCCTCCTCTTTGTCCACGACCACGACCTCTGAATGCTTGGTGGATTTTAACTTCATTGTTGAAGTTTTTACCATTACTTCTTCCTCGTCCATGACCGCTACGGCCTCGTCCTCGGCCATTCCCTCGATAGCTTCTTTCACCTCCATAATCCTTAAAGGATGCTTGAGTTTTAAGAAGTTGCTCCAGTGGCACTTCTTGTCTCCTCTTGATCTTTTCTTCGTGGGCCTGTAAAGAACCCTCTAATTGCTCCACCATCATTGAGTCTAAATCTTTAGACTCTTCAATAGCACACACCACAAAATCAAATTTAGGTGTTAAAGTGCGAATGATCTTTTCTACCACACGGACATCTTTTATGTCCTCCCGTTATCTTCTTAATTGATTCACAACAGCCTTCACTTTTGAACAATAATCCGAAATGC